AGTAGACTACAAATAAACTAAATGTAAATTAAAGAACTTTACAATAAAAATATATTATTATAAAACTAAAATTTCTTATTATTTATTTGATTTCATTTGATTTATTTTCTATTGCTTATTATTTGAGATTATATGATGATATTATTATATGATCATTTTTTAAATTTCCATATATAACAGAATAAATAAAGGACTTTCTAAATAAAGAAATATCAAATATATATTTCAACCTATGATTTTAGTATTTTCAATTTGATCTCTACTAAAAATGTTGTAGTGACGAAAAATGTTTCAAAAATTGTGGTAGAAATGTAAATTAACCAATAAAATATGAAAAGTTGTGACAAAACACATTTCTAAATGTACTTCAAACATGTTGAATACCTGAAACACAGAAACACATAAACACTAATGAAACATTTTAGAATGAAGAACGGACCAATTCAAATGAACACCTAAATATTAGGCTTTTATTTATGATCCACAAAGTAGAAAGCATGACCTTTTGGGAGGTATCTAGTGAATCTGCAAAATGTCCGCCAAGTTCGAGTATAATTGTTCTCGCACGGCATCTCTATTGCTTGTGTTTAGCAAATAAACAGTAGCATCTCGATGATTTTTCAAAATTGCAACTGCAAAACCAAGCATTGCATGGATAGATAACATGCCAATTCATAAAACATGGAATAAACGCACAAGTTTTCTGAGGCATCAGCATCGGAGAAAACATTAACGACACGTTTGGTAATTAAGTTTAATAGCAATCAATTTGTTGCACAAATAGAATGCATTGCATGCTGTGGTTGAATGAATGACCATTCATCAGGTCACTCAAGCATCATAATACAAGCAACCAAAAACATTTGAGGTGATGCCTCGCCATATTTTAAGAAGAGAGATAGTATTTCGACAACAAGCAGTTCATATCCTTTGTTACAATAAAACTTATGTACCATGTAGAATGAAAATTAGAATATATCTACACCGACCAGATTGATTCAGCAAAGCAAGTGTGAATTTACAATACAACAAAATAAACCAATAAGAAATGTTAGAAAATGGATTCGTGATTCAGTGATTGTTTTATTTCACCCGATGTTCTCGAATTCGGATAGAATATGTACCTTCAGGAATATCTCTGCCAGATTTTGGAACAGGGATTGTAGCCAAGAGAGGGATATTTGAATCCAGAACCCTTAACACAGCAGGGAAGAATGACGAACTGAAAAGTTCCATTTGCCAACTTCATCGATGATGAAAAGATTGGTATCCCCTTGAACCTAATCATAATTCATTTTAGTTCAATGCTGCAAGATACACTTGCTTTATAATAAGAATAAGAACTGCCTACATGTAATTAAGGAGCTTAAGCCCATCTATACAAAAGGTAAATCTGGAAAGAACTATATCAAATATGTTACTAGATGAATCTTTTATGTCGACATGATATTTGTTTTAAGATAAAATAAAGATCAGAATATGATGACTCCATTGGTACACATGTGGTTATTCAGTTATACATTGGGTCCTCATAAAAGCTCAATTACAAAAATAACCGATAAGGTAGTGATCCTTATTATATAGCCTCATAATAAAAAAACAAAAAAGCGTTGCTATCATACAAACTACAAGTACAACTTTGACATATGGTCGTTGTTTCAGAAAGGGAACATAATAGGATGGTATATTTCGAATGAATCTCAATGTTCTCACAGAGTTTAGATACTAAAACTCCAATATCAAGTGTATTTTGTGTAAGAAAAGGAACTGACCTGCAACTCGGGTAAAACCAGTGATTCAAATGATGAGATGTCTACTTTGTACCTTCCCACACTGGGCCATCTCTGAGATTCACTGCTGCCATGGAGTCATGGATAGAGATCATTTACTCACAAATACCAAATAACAAAGCAGAAAACAACAGAAAATGCTCTAACTCAAAGAAAAATACTTAAGACAACAAACCAGCAACTATGAGAGAAGAAACTCACTAATTCAAAATCTCCTGCCTCTTAGTACAAGCAAATTAAGTACATCCTTATGCAAACGATTATACCGAAAGAACTCCTCAACAATTTTTCAAAGTTAGCTAATTACTTCACATTTTACTGCACATATTCTCAAGCCATTCTATGTCCTTTCCAATACCTTTTCAGGCAACATACAATTCGACATAAGAAAAAAGTTGTTCTCTACGACAGTACGGTTACACACATTTAAGCTAAAAACTTTGATTAGTAAAATCATTAGTTACCAAACGAATTCTTCCTTGGGTGCAAACATTAATCAAGTTAAACTTTGCTATTACTTTTTTGATGATTTTTCACGTGAAATTAGCAGCCACTTTCAAGGACAATGTTGTAAGGACATCGGGTTTCGTAGCCAGATTTTCAAGTACAAAATTGGGACTATTTTCTTGATGTAACCTCTTTGGCATTCTTATTTCTATTTTTCCTTTTTTAAGACAAACTATAGGACCTCTGTAGATTATAAAGCACACAGTGGCATCGTCCATAATTCAAGCAATAGAATCTTCAAGCATTATAACTTGGACATCATGTGTAGTTTTTGTCTCGTAGTTACTATAAAGTTTACTTTGACAAGCTTTCTAGTTATTCAAGGTATTTTAAAATGATATGTAGCCTTTACATGCAAAATAAATAAGATAAACCCGCAATTTCTCCACAAACCTAAGGGGGAATTTACATGTCACCTTAAATGTTTTTTGAGTTATATCGTAAGGTTAAACTGAAATACAGCTCTAATTACTAGCATCCCTGCTGACAGAATTTCTGCATGATGATTTATTTATTTATTTATTTATTTATTCTTTTTGGTTTTTTCACTAGCAAAACAGCAGTATTAAAAACATATCCGTCCACAACGCTACATACAGAATGGATTAAAGTACCAGAACAAAAGCCGGTATTATTTATGAGCTTAAAAGATTCAATCCATTTTTCCCCAAATTACAACTAAACACCACTTGTGGATAATAAGTTAAATTCCTCGGATTTCAAACTCAAACTACTTTATAAAGACAAATCCAGTTCATGTTTTTACAAATAAATGAAATAATGATTTACAACATGCAATACGTAAGCCAAAGGTACTCACCAGCATACACTATTCGGCATCAATATCTTAGATAAATCTGTTCTACTTGTCATTCTTATTCAAGGAACCAACAAACTATCAAAGAATTACGTGATACCGCGAAAGACGAAGCAGCTCGAACTATAAAATTTAAGCACCTAGAAATATGGGTGGATGCGAGCGGAGCTTTGCGACCACCAACAGTAACCACTTCAAACCCTACCCTTTGGGCCCCTTCTCTAACCTCACCTGCGTAATTCAATTAAAAATACAATCTTTCAGCAAAATGGAACAGATAAAACCCTCAACCCAAAAATGCAATATATAAGCTCCCGTCACCAATTAAGTTGCACGTTTTTTCTTTGCTTTGGTACCACCAAACAATCGAGTTAACTTTACACAGCAACTCCAGTAACAATCAGACAAGTTCATTAAAAAGTCCAATTAAAAAAAAAAAAATCCAAGAATATTACCATGATTTAAGAATCATATATTGCTAAAATTACAAAAAACCAATACCAAATAGAAACAGCAAAACAAAAGAAGAGAAACAAGATAATAGATAGGAGAATAAATGAAGAGATTTTGGATATACGAGTGTAAAACCCCTGAAATTTGAAGCTGGGATTCAATTGTTGGAGGGACTCGAGAACACGAATTATAAGAGTTGTCTTGCCGACTCCCTGCAAACAATACCACAGCAAATGAATGAATATGTTTGTTGTGTTATTCACAACGAAAGAGTTTTAAACCTATAAAATTACCGGAGGACCAGTGACGAGAAAAAACTTTGTGGCAGCAGCCATTTTACAAATGGCCTTGGCTTCGTGATGACGGGAAATCTCAACGGTGCACTTGCCTATAAATAAACTCAATTAATTAATTCTTAGTTAATAATTTTAGGCCTGGAAAATACACAACTTTTACTTAATTGGTCATTTAATTAGATTTTATTATTTAAATAAAAAAAATAACNNAAAAAAAAAAAAAAAAAAAGACTCTTGACCAAAATAAATCAAACGTATTCTCAGAATACGTTTTAAATCGTAAAACGTATTCTGAGAATACGTTTCTAAAGTAAAACGTATTCTCATGTTACGTTTTATAACGAATTAAAATTTTAAACATGATTATCTTAATTAGATCGCAATTAAGGAAATTAAATTAAAATAAAACGTATTTTCATAATACGTTTTATAAGAAACGTATTTTCGAAAAACGCTTTAAATACAAAAACGTATTTTAAATATACGTTTTTTTTTTTAAATAAATTTTATATACTATAAATTATAAAAAATTAGTAAAATTTTTGAATTTTTTTTAATTGAAAACGTATTTTCAGAATACGGTTTCCTGAAGGAAAAGGAAACCGTATTCTGAAAATACGTTTTCAATTAAAAAAATAAAAAGCTAAAACGTATTATGAAAATACGTTTTACTGTACAGAAACAACAATTTTACAACAGAAATAAAATAGAACACCTGTTTGTCGAAATCAATTCCACAACCAAATATTCAACAACCAAATATTCAACAACCAAAATATATCAATTCCACAAATAAAATTGAAGCACAATAATTTATTTAAAATACCAATATGTGTTAATTTAATTACACAAAAGTCAAGAAAAAAAAATGTCCATAAATTTCCTAATAGTTGCTAGGAGTGAATTGATCCGGAGGTCTGCGCTCCTGGG